AACATGAAAACTTTGAAGTTTTCGTAGAATTAACGCTTTTATTATGAAAGAGATGTCAAACATTTGAAGTAAATCGTACCTGTTGACTAAACATCTGGTCACGTTCCAGTGCATGCTCAAATCTTTCCAACAAATTCATCATTTCCGTATTACACTCAAAATCATTGAAATGATTATTCGCCCACAACAAAACGATTCTAGCAACCTGCAATACAAACACCTTATTAGTTTCGAAAATCGTGAACGTTGACTCGAAAGTGATTTTGCTTCACGCTGGACCGACCACATTATGATGCATCCCGAATCAACAATTTCAAATATCACAGAAATTTGATTTTTAAAGGCGTTCAACACCTGGTGTCCGTAATAAAGAGCACGAAGTCAGAGTTCGAAGAAATCATATTGATCAACGAAGAAAACCGTTACCCGATCTCTGAGCGTTGCTTCAGCGAACCAATGCATTAACTTCTCGAAAATCATGGTCGGGTCATGAATGAACACTCGATGCATCAATAAGAAATCATCCGCATAATTCACGTCAACACCACAATCTCGTTCATCTATCAGATGCTCAATCAGCTTCTCTTTATTTCCTTTTATCAACACTTGCCCCACCTGACTTCCGACACTCCTACAATATCGCTCTTTACATCACAATTCAATTACCTTTTCCAGCAGACTAATCATCATATTCGCAAATTCATTAAAAACTGCTGTTGAGAAAAGTTTTTGACGGAAATTCATTTTTTTCATTCGAATAATGTGAATAACCATTCGAAGGTGAAAGAAATATCTGCAAACGAAAGCGCTGGATAATGGAAGTTGGACGGTAATTAGAATTGATCTGAGTGTTTAAAAATGAGATTCGTACCGATGTTATGAAGCTGGCATATGAGTTGTCTTGTATCTCTTGTGAGTAAATAAAACGCAAGAATGAGCACAACACAAAGTGAAATGCAGAATGAACAAATGACTAAATGAATGCACACACACACCTGGTTTCAGTCTCGCAAACGATCTCTCCAGTGATATTGTCCGAATGTTTATGGATATGCTCAGACACTCGACTCATTATTCGACAATAATCTTGATGTTCCACTAGCACAAATTCACAGTCGTCCACCAGAGTTCGCATCTCACCAACATGATACTGAATCAATAATGTATTAATACTGGACATGATAATTGTAATAACACTCACCTGAACGGTATTCACGGGTTTCGCACCGAAACAATCGCCAAGCTTGTACTCGAATCGTTGTCCATCCGGCCGTCTCACCTCCACCTGACCGTTCACAATAACCGACCACGCATCGATCTTCTCGTTATTCTCCATCACAATGGTGCCCGCATCAGGCACTATCGCAAACACCATTTTCATGCATAACTCTCGTTTGATACTTAGAGGGAGTGTGGCCAATGCTGACATATGTTGCATAAAGTCCTGAATTCGATTACTATATCAAATCTCCTGTGATACTGTCCGAATGTTATGGACATGACTCAAAAGTGCGCTTTACTCACGATTATTTTCGATGCGAGTAATTGGCAAACAAAAGAAAACAATCAACACATTTGTCGAAAGCTTGAACTATGAAAGATCTTTACTACCTTCATATAACTATTGCTTTATGTAACTTTACTCATCTCAATGGTTTATCAATATTAACTCAGTAACATTTTTGAATACTATTCACTCGGACCAATAACAATTCAATCTTCCGATAATATTATTTGAAGAATGCGGTGATCAAAAAACACTAAATGCAAATTATTGTGACACTTCAAGACAATCACTCAACTCAACGTAAGCAAATAAATGAATTTCTATTGAACACTGAACGCAATCCAATAATTACACAACAACTAATCAAACTGATACCAATAAAATGGCCAAATCATCAGCACTTCGTTCACTTGGCTCCTTCTCTAAACACTCTCGCACACAATCTTTCAACTCATGAAAACTATCGTGCGATGGACACGACTCATCATCTTCATCCTCACTGTCTACAGCTGTTTCTGGTAAACCTGAAATTGATAACAGTACTGAACGGAAACAGCAGCGTTATGGAAATAAGCTTATCTATGATGAAAGTAATAAGTTATTCATAATACAAAGGTGCCAACCATGCAAATCATCATCATTTGTACTCGAAGATGCAGTACTCGGAACGCGTGTTCTCTGCTTTTGATTACCCACATTAATATTCATATTAATAACACCACCATTTATTGAGTTGGATTTATGTGATCTTCCACGATGTTTTACACGCACAAATGTCGCATCCTCAGCTGAATTCAAACCATTCAAGTAGACCTAAAATTAATGGAAATTTGCATTGGTCAATAGGCAATAGTGAGCGATTTTAATGAAACAGGTATAAAATTTACGAATCTTTTTGAAGTTCCTTTATGTTAGCGTGAATGAGCATAAGTGGTTTCATTCGATAATGACGAAGAGAATAGAAAATAGGGAGTGACGCATGAGATTACCTGACTTTTATGCGTTTGAACCGTTGCTTCACAATCGTTTCTCGACGAATCTCGTTCTCGATTCATGAAATTATCGTAATTATGATAACGACTTGAAACCGATAGCTGTGATGAGGTCGATGGTACCGCACTCGATCCTGTACCAACAGATGACGATGAGGACATATCGACTGCATTTCGACTTGACGGGGGCACGGGTAACGGGGGAATATTCTGCGAACCTTTCTGCACATTCGATGTGCACTGGATGGAATTTGAGTATGTTTTAGACCCTTGAGTTTGCGCTTTCATCTGAGCTTGGGCTTCGGACAGAGTTTTGGCGTGAGATTGAGGATAGGATATCTTCCTTGGAGATGGTGCGCGCATTGCTGATGAAGGTGATAAAGTGGTTGATGTGATATTGTTGGCTGTTGTTTTATTGTTGTACAATGGTACGGGATCTAAACTCATCGAATGAATCGATTTACGCATTTCGCTTATATCTGCGTGAGTAGCGCTCGAGGCATGAGATGCTGTTGACGGTACAGTCGATTGATGGCTCACATGAATATGTTTCACATCCGGGTAGTCCACCTCAAATTACAATTTTTCACATTCTTTAAACCTGAACTCGGAAAATTCAATCGGAAATAAAAACACCCTCATATATTCAATCATGCATCAGTCTCGTATGCATCAACTCCATGTCTACGACTCAGAATCTTTGAATTTGAATATCCTTCAGAACACTTAACTTGAATCTATGAATTTCCCAACGAGCTTTCAGTTCTAATATTTCCACTCAACAATTCTAGCCCAACGGACGACTCATCGTATAAAGTCATATGCACTATGCACGGATGGCCGAGTGGTCTAAGGCGCCAGACTCAAGTGTTAACACTTCCTGCGAGTGCAGCAGGAGTATGGGCGTTCTGGTATGGTAATCCATGCGTGGGTTCGAATCCCACTTCGTGCAAATCTTTTTGCAACGTTCATTTTGCTTGAAATCATCCAAATCTTACCCAATAACAAAGAAAAACAGATTTTTTTTTCAGTAATTGACTTACAACGATCATTTCCGAATGCTGCAGAACAATACAATCGTTTGATCGACGATAATTGAGACCACTTCGTTTACCAAAACTGAAATTTTTGTGTCATTTTCAAACAATTTTGGAATCTTGAGAAATGTTCATAGAAAAAAAAACACCAAGTGAAAATGAGAGAGCAAAATGTAAATATGGATCAGACAAGACCCCTTCTACCCCTCCCCGCAAAGAAAAACAAAAACGAGATAAGACTAAAGTAAATGAAATGAGAATAAGTGCATATGACAGAAGAAAATGACGAACAATTTATTATTACATCCGGAAGACAATCATGACAACAGATTACGAACAAATTTGAATTAATTCAGTTGTACTCATCGAATGAAACAATTTTAAAAGAACTTGATTTAAGTCTTGATTATAAGGCGATGAACAAAAATTGTTCTAATTAAAAAACATTTCACCACATCGACTGAATCTTTGAAGTGAACAAACGATTAAAATTCTGAATTAATGGACAAAATAATAATCGTAAAAAATTTAAGATTGATAATCATTATTCAACAATCGATTGATTGTGAACGTGAATTTTGATATATGAGCCTAAGACAAACCTTTTGCATCTTCTCAAATTTCTTTGTAAAGACGAACTCGGAACTGCATTAGGCTTATTATGAGTCGAAGAATATGATCGATTGAAATTCGCGGTTTCTGAATTCGACGTTCCATCCGGAATAAACAATTGAGTGACTCCCGAGTTGGACTGTACCACTCGGAATGAGCAATATTTTCGTTTGGGACAAGGATATTCTCGATCCGGTTTTGATGTGGCACTCGGCCCGAATGACTGCTGACGATTTCTCGGCAATGATACGTCCTTATCACAGCTTATCAACATTTCTTTCTCTATCTTTCCCTCTCTTTACCAATGATAATTTTCGCGAATATTTTATCACTTATGATTAGACACTTTACCAGTGGCCAGATATTGAATAAATCGTTCAGCTCATAGCCTCTAGAGATATTCAAATAAGTGCAATTGAATATCGAATATCACTGACCAGAACAGTTTCAAACTAGTGATGAATGAACAAACTCTGACATAATAACAAAAACAAAGAATTAGATCAGAATGTGTTCAATAAGCAACACAATAACCACTGTTCGTCAGTCTATAATGCTCATCATCAAGTTAGTCAAATCAAAGGATAAGATTTCATGCGATCGAGTGGAGAAATTAAAACGCGGAAGAATCGCGACATTGAATAATCTATTGTTCACTTTAATTTGAATCATCATTCGAAATAATGTCTTCCATTGGGCACATCACAAGATCATTTGCATATTGATGTCAATTACGAACAAATTAACACTTCACACAATTGACGCTGACCCAATCGAAATATTCATATTAATAATAACGACAATAAAAAGCAGCAATTCATGAATCTCAAGTCATTTCTATAACC